CCAAGTCCTCGTGGGACTCCACCTTCTGCGCTGTCAATCCAAAGTTCCTCGCCATCATCGTGGAGTCTGCTGGCGGAGGAGCCTTCATCGTCTTACCGCACAACAAAGTAAGCCTCCTTCTATCGCATCATGCTAGAGAGCATCTAGAGAGGCTTCGAGAGTAAAGGAGTAGGCCTATGTTTGCGTAAACCAGTCACGTTCTTGCGTTGCATGCTTAGTTACCCCTGGGCACTTCCTCGAATGCATTGCGTAAAGTGCTTTAGTATCTAGAGATGCTTCGCTTCTATTTATCCATTGCGAGTAAAAGAGTAACTCTGTGTTTGCGTAGAATGCGTAGTTACCTCTGAGTGCTTTCTTGAATGCTCTTATCGCATTGTGTTTTAGTATCTAGAAAAGCTTTGCTTCTATTTATCCTTTCCAAGTAAAAGAGCAGCTCTATATTTGCATAGAAATCTTCCTTGAATGCACCAGTGTGAAGGAAGTCTCTTTACTCATTTTTATCTATGATTCTTAATCTACAAGCGATCTAGTTAAATCACAACATAGGCTGAACACTACTGGTTTATGCTTCCCTCCTTACACTAACCGACACAGAATGTTCTACCATAGTTCTGATAGTTTGCAATTATTATAGGCAGGCCGCATACCAGCAGATTACCCTCTAGTCGGTGGCCACAAAGGTCCGGTGTTAGATATCGCATGGTGTCCTCATAACGACAATGTCATAGCATCCGGATCAGAAGACTGCGTAGTTAAAGTATGGCAAATACCGGATGGTGGTATTTCCAGGACACTAACGGAATCAGTGGTAGACCTCCAGCAGCATCAGCGCAGAGTTGGCCTCGTCTTATGGCATCCGTCTGCTCTGAATGTGCTGCTCACTGCTGGATCGGACAATCTTGTCCTGATCTGGAACGTTGGCACAGGGGAAGCCATAGTGCGGATAGACTGTCATCCAGATATGATTTACTCTGCGTGCTGGAATTGGGACGGTTCCAGATTAGTCACTACGTGTAAGGATAAAAAGATTCGTCTGTTGGATCCTAGATCGGGGGAAATTGTCGAAGAAGCTATTGCACACGAAGGTAGTAAGGCTACGCGTGCAATTTTTCTCAGGTATGTAAACTTCCTTTCGATTGGTACAATCTGCTTCTATTTTTTAACTCTTCGTAATCTTAATCGTGAGTTGCTATGAATCTTTGCGTTATAGCTTGCAAATCCTTTCACCGTGGGACGATTTTTGCTGGAAATTCCAAGAGACATAGAGATGTGAATTTTTACAAAAATATCAGCTTATAGAGAACGATAGGACTGAGCTTTTTTTTGTATTTACAATTTGTTCATAGGACGTTTAGTTTCAAAAATAAAAAATAAAACTTAAAAGACCCTTTTTCTGAAATTCAATTTTTGCAACATACTTGTAACTTTTCAATTTTTATTTTCGAAACTAGGCATCCTGTGAATAAACTGTAAGTACAAAAAAGGTTTTGTCTCGTCATCCACTATAAGCTGATATTTAAAAAAAATTGATTTTTTCAATTAGCAAATGTGGTTCCATGGTTGAGCAATTTAATAATTAATAACTCACGCTATAATTTGAAGAAACATTTTACAGATACGATTTAAACGTTGCTTCTAACATTAATCTCAGTGTTTGTATAAAGAGTATTAACTAATCGATGTGAGTAACTGTAATAATTTAAGGAAATTATGTTTCTTTATTTAATAGGTGTGCTATCGTCTTCCAAACTTTTATCGATCTTCTTTTAGCACATTTTTGTACATATTTGTATAAATTAATATTACGAATCAACTTAATACGAGTATTTCTGTCGAAATGTTTCTAAGATAACTATTTATTATTAGTATGCAAAACACTGTCAACATACTTTTTCACATAGAATAATCATCAAACAATATACATCCGCCTTTTTACACAATAAGAATATATATATATATATATACATATATATATATCTAGGATAAAATAGAACAACATATATTTATTTTAATTACCACTTGCAGCAATAAGACTAATAATTCCATAAACTTTTTAGCGGTCTACAATGTCTTTTGATCGTACATGCGATTAATGTTTCTTAGAAGAAGTATTCGTAGAGGTTTCGTAAAACGCTTCTACTCGCACGTTGAGAGTATTTTTGTTTTTCATTTGAACATGGTGTTTCCAATTTCTGTAGCGCGAGAATTTGGTATTTTTGTAATGGAAAACTGCAAGAAATCACAACATCGGGAGGATGTCAGCTTAAGTAAATGAAAAATATGAAGATGTCCACTGTGTAATATCTACATAAGAATTGCAGTAAGTATTGTACCTCAGATTACTAATTTAAAGTATAACATCTCTGTCGATTGAATAAATATGTGTATAAGTCCAAGAGGCAGCGAAGTAACTACACTAATACAGAGCACATTGTAACGATAGTGTGATTTTCTGCATTCAAAATGAGACGATTGTTAGAATTTTGAATGCTGTTGATATCTGTTTCGAAAGGCAGACGAACGATTCAGGTATAGATCAGTAATTCAGCTGGTACGCTGATTCTCATTCGAATACAACATTAAATAATCCGACATACCAAATATAGTTCTCTCTTTTCATTTTCTTTTTTATATATATATATATATAATTCAAGCTATATTTTACGTAAGGTGACACGTGTGCTTTTAACACAAAGAAATTTATGCGATAGTTCCCAAATGTTGTAACAAGGTGGATGTTATTCAGTTTTGATGATTAACTTAAATAAGAACGTTGAACACGATGAAAGGAATTACGTAGCATAAGTGTAGAGTATTTAGAGATAAGTTATGTCTTGTAAGAGTGTTCGTACAGGGTGTTTGCTTGAAACATTCTCAGGTGAATGTCTCAAAGAGTATGGAAGATGTTAAAGAAAGTGTAAAACAGGGTTTCAAGGGGGATCAGCTTTGTTTTTTTTTTTTCTTTTAAAGGGATGTATTTTTATTATTGTACTCTTATAGCTAAGGAAACTGGTGACCTTAAGAGGAGTTATTGTTGCAAGATCGATGAGATTTGTGATTGAAATATCCTCTTCTGTTTAAAAAAGATTGATGAGTTTGAAACTTTGGAAAATATGACCTCGAGATACTTTGTGTGTGTTTGGTAATATTGGAACCGAAGAGTTTCTGTTCGAACAATTTAACTCTCTTTGATTTTTTAATAATAACTCCTCTTAAGGTGACCTTCAGGTGAATATTATTATACACCTTTAAATTTGTCTGTTTGTTAGCTGTGAGAATAAAATAATGAAAGTACCTCATCGCATAAAAAAAAAAAAGATTGACCTCCAAATGATTTAATCTCCACGCAAATAAAAAAACTGTTACTATCCTCCTCTCTTTCCCTCTTGAAACCCCTAAAAACATGTTCTACACTTTTCTCTTAATATTTTCCATGCTTTTCGAGCTATTCAGCTGAAAATGTTTCCAAGCGAACACCTTGTATGTTGTATGTTTGAAAAATGTCTGCGTCCAACCAATACTCTCTGTCGACAAGGTTCTGTTTGCTATGTTTGCAGGGGAGGCTTGATCTTTACAACAGGTTTCAGCAAAATGTCCGAGAGACAGTATTCGCTGCGCGCCCCCGACATGTTAGGCGAACCTATAGTTATGGTAGAATTGGACACGAGTAACGGAGTTATGTTTCCCCTGTACGATCCCGATACGAACCTAGTGTACTTGTGCGGGAAGGGTGACTCTGTGATTCGATACTTCGAGATTACCCCCGAGCCCCCCTTCGTTCACTATATAAATACGTTTCAAACTCCTGATCCTCAACGAGGCATAGGAATGATGCCAAAACGAGGCTGTGATGTTAATAGCTGTGAAATATCTAGATTCTACCGGCTCAACAATTCTGGCTTTTGCCAGGTCATTTCTATGACGGTGCCGAGAAAGGTATTTTTCATATATAAATCAAATATAATAAAAATAATTCATTTGTTTTAATGATTGTAACGTTGTGTCGTTGACTTTTAGTCCGAGCTCTTCCAAGAAGACTTGTATCCGGACACACCCGGGGACACCGCTGCAATTTCCGCCGAGGAATGGGAAAGCGGAGCCGACGGTGATCCCGTGCTGATATCCCTGCGAGACGGTTATCAGCCCTCCGTAGCCAAGAACGAGCTGAAAGTGCATAAAAAGTCGAATATCCTCAGTAAAGGAGCGAAAGTCGCCTCGAATTCGTCGCAGAACGCTACACAGGCGTCGGCGGGCGTTACAGTGCGTTTATTCTAGATGTAATCTCCATTTTTTTTCTGTTAGAAATGAATTCTTCAAAAGAGTATGTTCCTCCAGGAGGAGATGCTGAAGGAGTTCACCGAGGAAATAAGGAAGTTGAAAGCGGTGATCGTGAAACACGAGGGAAGGATACGGGTGCTCGAGTCAGCCGTGGCTCTGCAAATGAAGGAAGAGGAGCGAAAAGAGAAATCGTCCTCGCCAGCTGTCGACAGAGAGGTGCTCGCGTCCGACGAGGTGTAATTTTTCGAATGATATTTTTTAGCTCAGTAAAAAAAAAAAAGAAGAAAAAGAAAGAAGTATAATATAAGATAACTAATTGTGTAATAAAAAAAAAAAATTTATCATATATTTTGATATAACAATTTGTGTAAATAGTAGGTTTTAGCTACGTTGTGTGTCTTGACTCTTTGAAACGATTCTTGCTATTTATTGTACATCCATTCATCATACATCCTCCGCATTTGTACCATGTCTGCATCTTTTATTTTAATCGATTGTAAACCGACTGCGACAACCGCCTGTTTCACTAGCGTTAAGACGTTGGGATCCGTAGCGCTCGAAACATTTTATGTATATTCAACATTGTAAGGATAAACGAGTGCCTAATTTGTACAGATATCTCGATGTAAAATAACGAACGGCTTGTTTTATTCTGCCGTGGCACCTTGTATCTGGATACCTGCGTACGAACTAACACGGAATAATCGCTATTTTACGAAAGCTGTGCAAATAACAAATAATAAGATATTAAGTATTTTTGATTAATCTGTTTTACTCGTCGTGGAAGGAAATCATTTGTTTTTGTACAAAAAAAAAAAAAAAATGTGAATACTAAATAATATAACTCTGATTGAACCGAAGTGAAGCAGTACTTTAATATAGGATATTTAATATTGAACATAATATATTAAATATTTTTTAATATATGCAGTTGAATTGTAATTGGAATGGTTTGCGTTTTATGGTCAACTATCCTTTTTTAAATTATCGTAGTTTGTCTTGTGGGTTCCCGGTGTTTTCGCTGGAATGAGTAGCCATCTAGTGGTGGATAGCTGGAATTAGTTTTCGGGGTTTGACATCGATAGTTTCTTTCTAGATGGCGCCATTTTACATTCTATTTACCACATTGTGGTAATGTATCGATGTGTCTCGGTAAAAAACAATATACTTGACCCCACCTAGGAGTGGTTTTCTTTAAGAACATTTAACAATATACCCCCTGAAACGTACATCAGTACTAAAATTGATACATCCCATTTTTAAACAGTTAATTTAATACTTAATTTAACAGTTACTTTTGAACAGTATAGTAGAGTTACAATTTACAGAAAGTAAATTAGTATTTTGGATTACAATTAAATTATTATAGTTTTGTTTGGAGTTTAAGTTGGTGAAACTGTAATGTTAACGTAGCTGGCAACACTGATGTACTTCTCTCCATGCGGTACTTATGAATACATATGTTGAAAAGTAGAAGATAGATTTCTTCAATACTCAACAGTCGTACCTTAAAAATTCAATTACACATGATAATTATTTGTTTTCTTTAACAACATTTAACAATATACTCCCCTGAAACGTACATCAGTACTAAAATGATACATCCCATTTTTAAACAGTTAATTTAATACTTAATTTAACAGTCACTTTTCAATAGTAGTTAAACAAACTCAAATTTAAATATATCCAAATAAACAAAAATGATTTTAATATCGATTGAGATATATTTTAATCTACAGTTTAACTTTTATCCAAATCTAAATAAACAGAAAACACCAGAACTTTATTGCCTTTGCAGTATGTCCATCCCTTAAATTTAAGAAACCATAAGAAATTAATGAAAATAGATTATAAATAAATTATAATAAAGAATCTGAGTATCAATTACTTCCTTTAGTCTGGTATCTTCGATCCACAACACGTTTCTATCTGATAATGAACAATATCCACGACCTGAACGAACTGTTCCTTAAGTTCCCTAGCTTTCACATACACATCTTCCTTCATCAGATCATAGCACATAGCGATGAGCCCCATGCCAAGGAGCAGATAAACAAAATTAATGATCAACTTCGTCTGGCTGTCAGTAGTTAAATCTCCATGCGTCCACCCAGGCACAAGATCCCCCATTCCAATCTTACACAGTGACGTCACACAAAAATAAGTACTATCCAAATAATCCCATCCTTCCCACTCAGCGAACATAATCGACCCACCTATGACGTATCCAAAAATGACCCAAAGACAGGCTGTGGAAGGCACAGTGATCCTCTGTCCAAGCTTCTTCCTCCCGGTGCACTCATGCAACCATGTGTACAGCCAGCGAAAGGTCTGCGCCAAGACTTTGCCCATGTTGAGAAAGTATAATACGTACAGAGGAATTCCCATGACTGCATAGATAACAGTGACACCCTTTCCCCATGGTGTCTGGGGCACCAGAGTACCGTACCCAATCATAGTGAACACAGAGAGACAGAACATCATCGCTGCTGGAAAGGACCAGAGATCAGTCGCAGTTAAACCACTGCAGTTCTCCTTCTTGTAATTGCTGATGAAGTTGTCCTGGTAGCGTCTTAGGATCCGGTTCGACAGCACGTGGAACGTCGTCTTGTTGAACACGTTCACAGTTTGATTACTAGCGGTGCTGAACCATAGTTCATCCGCGTATTGCCTCCTGATGGCCTCTCTGATGCAGACAGTGGGTGATATGGGGGCTTGGGTCTCTATCACCATGAACCCAAACGCGCCTATTATCGCGTAGCTCACCACGAGGCCGCCAACACCCACCTGGGTGCACATGAAGGCGACCAACTTCCGACAACAGTCCTTTATACGTTCTCTGGGGTCCACGTCGGTGGACGTCGAGGAGGAATCGCGACTCCTCAAGGAGGATCTGATGGGAACACGCATTGTGGTGCTCGTATAAGAGATTGAGGGTGAAGAATGATGCTTGATGTCGAGGGAACTGATACCGAAACGACTTGAAACGACTTTCCTCGCGCTCTTCTATTTCTGGCCAGAGTGTTGGCTTCTGTCCTTCTCTTTCTCTGTTCTTCTCTTTCTCTATTCTTCACGCTTGGAGTTTCTCGTTGCTTGGAGCAACAACAGAGCATAGGTTGTTGAAAGTTCCAGTTTAAACTGAGCCTGAAATGTTATTTGACTTAGGAAAATATTCCATGAATTCTTCCATTGTAAACAAAAATAATAGAGAAATACTCAAGGGAGAGTTTCCTTTAGGAATTTTTTAAAAATGATCCACTGTGTGGATCTTTATGAAACCCACAGGATCTTTTACTGAATATTTGGTGATGCTAAATTATTTTTTTCAATGGAAAATTTCAACTGGAAATCGTTAAACCTTGTTTATCGTTGTGATTCCATCGTGAAAGCATCTGGAATTCTGATAGAAAAAATTATGCCGCACGTTTTCTTTCAGCTTTTACTAATTTTTCAATCTATGTACCCTTCTTTTCATTTACTTTTATTCGTAAGTATTTTATTATCTTCTTTTATCTCTCTGGAAGCAGCGTAATGTCGTCTTCGCATAAATTGTGTGGTTTTGTTAGTACAATAGCGTCCCAAGTGCATCGGGAGGCGGACAACCGGCATGAGCGATATATAAACTAAATCTCTTGCAATAGGGTCTCGTGCAATCTCGGGATTATCCAGTTAGATGCACGTAGCGCACATCAGTTATGTGTTCCTCCTCGTCACGTACGCGTCACCCAATGATCATAAGCTCTGACAGTTCCAAGTAGTGTTTATTACAATGAGAAGATCATGCATAATTGTCACTGTCATAGGTAAAGTAAAAGAGATTTTCAATTTTTTTTTCCCTCGAATGTTGTACCAAACTTTGCATTCATTACGAAATTGAAACCTTCCCTTATCTTGAGTCTCTGTACTTTTATTTTCATCCTTCCTTAATTTTTCTTTATAAATAGCCTGCCAATATTTATGCGAATTCATAGTTGAATATAGAGACAGTATTGGAACATAAATAAAAGCATGTTTTATCTTCTAAATGGTAGAATATATATAAATATTATTCTTGATGTTTTGTATAATCTTCATTTGTGCACGTTGTTATAGATTTTTCCATATAAGTTCCTTTCGTTGCAATCCACTCTAATAAATAAATCCTCTCTAATAAAATAGAAAGATCATTTTGATTGCAAACCTCTGGAAGCGACACACAGTAACATACAGTGGATTTTCAGCTAGCTAATTCCATATAAAATGCTAATACGAAGCTGAAAATAAATAGAAGCTACTTATAATAAAATAGTAAAGCTCTTTAAAATTGTTAAAGGTCTTACTTGATCCACAAGGAACATTCAAAGTATTTGCACACCCAGTTTAGCAACCGGAATATGTTCATTAAAATCCGACGGTCGTTCGAATTGTTCACCAGTGGTGTACAAAGCGCCAATTTAGGAAGTGCCAACGTTTCTATGATGGCTGTTTACATACAGGGTGGGCCAAGCAAGTGCAACGAGCTGAAAGTTCGTTATCAGTAGATGTAGGAAAGAATCGCAAGGGGAAGAGATGAACTTTACACATGCAGATGTACTGTATACGCTACAAATATAGTACACTTTCAACTTTCATTTATCTTTTTCCTTTGCAATCCTTTTCTCTACCAAATTTTGTGGACAGTTTTGTAATATTGAACTGCGATGCATTTACAAATAAAAGAATTTCAAAGCTTTCTTTGTCGATTAATTATTTTACAAGTCTCTTAGGGGCTTGTTGTGCTTGGCTCGCCGTGTGTACTAATTTAGAATCTTTGAAGATAACGCAGAAATTTTCTTGGAAATTACTTTGCAATATTTCTGAGGCGATCTCTGCTTTCCTAGTTCAAACGTAATCAATTCTTCATTCCTCGAGTTCCTTTCTCGCTATCCTGCTTTAAATAATCTTTTTAAGTTTCAAAATTGAATAATTGAAGAAATTGAAAAATCCATGTTATGATCCCATCCTAATAATAATAATAATAATAATAATAATAATAATAATAATAATAATA